TGAATGGCGCTATTGTGGAGTGTTTTCAACTAAATAGCCAGTTGCACTGCAGAATTGCTCAGGAAGCATGTTGCCCTGCCCTCTGTTCCTGGAGGCAAATTCAGGCGCCTGAAGGAGGTGGACTAAATACCTCCTCGGAGATCCTGGGCTGCCTGACCTGCCACCCAGAGCCCTGCTGTACTGAGTTCTTACTTATTTCCTTTAAAGCTTCTCCTTTGTTTATGAAAGTTCATTATCCATCATCCACCCTTATCCTTTCTTCCCTACTTATGACCTCAGACTCTTCTGTCTGAGATTATTTCTCTTCTCTCGCTCATTAGGCTAATGGACTAGAAAGTGTGTGGGGGGGGGAGACCTTTCCTCGAAAGCCCTTCTTCCTTGAAGTCCTTGAGTGATGAGCTTTTAATGATCTACCACTTTCTTCTTGGTGAAATGAGGCTGGGGGTCAGTCATCTGCACAGGAGAAGAAAAGTGGAACTTCAAAGACCATCTTATCTTCAGACACACACAAGGCCTCCTGTCTGATTCTCATCTGAGCTTGCAATTAATTCTTTTTCTTCTTTCCCTCTTATTGCATGGCAAATCAATCATACTTATAGGGTTATGCTTTACGTGCTTGGCTGTTGTGTGTTCTGTGAGAAATAATCATTTCTTTATCTTTAGACCTGCATCGTGATACGGAGGTACAGGTAGGCACACAGATGCGTGAACGGATAAATGGACTGGGGGTTGGAGGATGGACAGATAACGCATCCAGGAGGAAGGGGCTGTTTTGAAACCATTTGCCTCTTATTCCTTTTTAAATCCACACTTTTACCTCTTCAAATCTAGAAAGGTTTGTCCACTAAAGAAGTTTTACTTATTAAAGAAAATAACTTTAGGCTTTAGGAGAAGATATTTTGAAATTGCTGTCTTCAGAAAGTTCTAGAATTTGAAATTTTTCAATGATAAATTATTGATAATTCAAACCCCTTCATATATAAAGGAAACCAAAGGCTGTTAAGGGTTTGAGTGATCCACTTAAGCACAGGATCCAAAACTGGAACCTGGCCTTTCTGAACACTGTCACTCCTACTATGCCACATGGAGAAGTATAAGGCCAACTTGCATGCAAAATTGTCTCAATTGATCAAAACGAGCATGATTGAAGTGTAATGCTGGAATACAAATGATGTGATTAGTGGGTTGCTAGATTTATTTTTTCATCTGTAAAAAATCATACTGTGCCTACAAAATTATGGCCTTGTAGTTAAACCACAACTTAAGACTGGATAGTCAACACTGGAGCCTTTTAATGAATTATTGTTAATACTTTTAGATGAGATAATGGCATTGTGATTGTATTTTTTGTTCAAGTTCTCTTTTAGAAACACACACTGAGATGTTTACAAATGATGTGATCTGATATCTTGCATTTACTTCAAAATAGTGCTGTTGTGCTGGGAGGGAAATAGATGAAGCAGGACTAGCCTTATGTGATAAATTATTGAGACTGGGTGATACATAGAAAAGAACTTATTATTCTATTCTTACTACTTCTGTATATTCAGCATTTTCCATAACAAAAAGTTAACTTTAAAAAACACTGCCACTGGAGAACTAGGTGGTGGTATAAGTGTGAGTTGTTTATTTGTTTTGTACCAGGGATTGAACCCAGAAACGTTTAACCACTGAGCCACATCCCCAACCCTTTTATTTATTTTTATTTCTGACACAGGGTCTCACTAAGTTGCTTAGGGCCTTGCTAAGTTGCTGAGGCTGGCTTTGAATTTGAGATCCTCCTGCTTCAACCTCCTGAGCCACTGGAATTACAGACACCTGGCTATGAATGAGATTTGAGTCAGGGATTTGAATCACATCTGCCACTTACTAGCTCTTTATGGATATGACAGCTGTAAAATACCTCCTTGTATTATGGTAAAAATTAAATGCAATAATACATGTAAAGTCCTCAAAACAGCCCTTGATACTTCTGTAATCAAATTTACTTGTTATTGTCATCTGAAAAGGTGCCACAACCCTAAGGCATTCTGGTCCTCCCCACTCCTATTGCAATGTTCAAGACAAAATTATTAAATAAGTAAAAGAAGTGAATGCCATTATTGTAGATTTGGAGCTAGAAAGAGTGCTCACTGAAGTCTTCAGACAGCATGAACGAGGAAGTCAAAGAGTTCAATGGCAGAGTGGAAAAGAAAGGCAGTGAGTGCTGTTGATTATAAAGACAAACTGTTACCAAATCAAAGCAACACGGTGTCCCACACTCAGCAGAGAAGCAAGCATCATCAGTGGAGCTGACTCAGGCTGGACGATGGGTCATCTGACACAGCCAGTAGGTTTTACTCTTTGCCAAAGAAATGGCTCCTACCCACCCTCTCTGACTCCTCTTCCGACTCTGCACTTTGGCTTCCACCCCTGAGCTTCTTGTCCTTGCTCCATGGTTAAGTGATGCAGTTAGAGTGATGGATAGAACTGAAGTACCTGTCTACAGGGCTATGCTGGAGATAGGAAAGTAGGCCTTCAGCCAGAATTGAAGCTCTTAACACTGGATTCATAGTATCCACCACTTGCAAATTCAAAGGTGGAGACCCATTGCTTTGCAGAAGACATTTTGGGGGCTCCTCAGAATTTTTCCAGTGTCCATTTTAAATACTGATGAATGTATGGATGTGGAAACAGATCCTGGCATTGCTAATTCACGTACTGGTTGTTAAATGTATACAGATTAACAACCCTGAAACAGAGACCAAAGTCTAAACTACCTGGGTCTGTGCACTGCTTGGAACACCACTGGCCATCTCTACCATTTACTTGTCTGACTTCTTCTCCTACCACTTCCACCTCCACCCTTTCGTGCTCAGGTAAGAATAAGAACTCCTCTACCTCAAGATCTTGCCATTTCCTCCATCCAAAAAACTGTTCCCTCAGGTCCTTTGGAGACTTGCTTCCTTACTTCTTCTTCATGTTTGGCAGATTCAATCTTGGTGTAGCATCATCCCCCGACAACAGATTGGTGCCATAACTGACCCTTCATTCATTATCCTTTTTCTCTGCTTTACTCTTCTACATTAATTTTGTGTGTGTGTGTGCGCCAAGGATTGAGCCCAGAGGCGCTTAACCACTAAGCCAATCCCCACCCCTTTTTAAAATATTTTATTTAGAGACAGGGTCTTACTGAGTTGCTTAGCGCCTTGTTAAATTGCTGAGGTTGGCTTTGAACCCATGATCCTCCTGAGCTGCTGGGATTACAGGCATGCACCACCGTGCCTGGCCTTCTGATTTTCATCATGTTTTAACCACCATTTAACTTATTTAGTCACTTAGTTAATTATCAATCTCCTCCTCCTGCATAAAGATAAGTATTTGTGTCTGTTTTATTATTTAATAGATCCCCAATGCCCAGAACACTGCCTGGTACATAGTTGGTATTAGATAAATATCTGTTTGATTGAATGACGGATGAGTGAATGAAGGAACCCACATGAAAAAAAAGTGCAAAAGTACAAAACTTATAATTACCAGATGTAGATCATTCATATTTTTCAATATCCCTTTTTGATAAACACTCTTAAAATATTAGGTATAGAAAGAACATGTACATCATCATGAAGGCTATACATGACAAACACACAGATAACCTCATATGAAATGGGGTAAAGTTGAAAGCATTTTCTCTAAAATATGGAGCAAGATAAAGAATTACACTTTTACCACTTTTATTCAACATAGTTCTAGAAGTCCTAGCCAGAGCAACTAGGCAATAGAGAGAAATAAAGAGCATCCAAGTTGGAAAGGAGGAACTCAAATTATTCCTGTTTGTAGATAACACAATCTTATATGTAGGAAAACATAAATACTCTGCCAAAACCAACACCCCATTAGAATGATAAACAGATTCAGTAAAGTTGCAGGCTACAAGATCAACATACAAAAATTAGTAGCATTTCCAGATACCAATAATGCACCAGCCAAAAAAGAAATCAAGATAGAAATCTCATTTATAATAATTTCCAAAAAGCAAAAGACCTAAGGATAAATTTAATCAAGGAGATAAAATATACCTACAATGAAAATTATCAAACTCTGATATAAGCTATTGAAGATGATACCAAACAAGGGAAAGACATTCTTCATTCATAGATTAGAAGAGTAAATATTAAAATATTCCTTTTTTACCCAAAGTGATCTACAAATTCAATCACTATAAAACATCCAATGGACTTCTTCACAAAAGTAAACAAAGAAACAAAAAACATAAAATGCATATGGAACCACAAAATATGTCCCAAAGCCAAAGAAATTCTGAGAAAAGAACAAATCTGGAGGTTTCCCCACACCTGACTTGAAAACATGCTACAGAGCTATAGTAACCCAAACAGCTCGCTGGGTCTTACCTGCCAAGGCCGGTCCCTCTCCTGGCCACCTGGGTCTGTCTCCTGAGTTCTAGCCATCTGGCTAAGGGTCTGATTTATCTCAGATGTTAGCCACAATGATGCATATGCCATATGGTAGAAATTGCCACGTGCCCTTCTTCTGTAGCCCCCAATCAGAAGGTCACCTTGGCAGTGCAGTAAGTCCCACTTTCACACAAAAGACACACAGGTGGGATGAGGGCTGGTGTTTGTCAGGGCCCTCGGAGTTTGTCCATAGCGTTTAGAGTTTCAGGGTCTAGCCTTGGATTTGGTACCTTGGTCAGTTATTAAATGGCTTAGGGAAAGGCTTATCTCAAATATTAAAACAACTATTTAAGTTAATTTTGTTATATTTTTTTAAACCTCCATTTAAAATATTTGCAAAATCAGAGTGGGGATAGAGCTCAGTGGTAGAGCACTTCCCCAGCATGAGCAAGGAGCTGGTTCTATCCCTGCACTGCAAAATTGAGGAAGCAATAAAAGAAAGCATTATAAAATAAATAAATATTTACATAGTAATTTCAAAAGAAGATAATTTTATTCAGCTAAGTGCATATAAATAAACCAAGCAGTTAGCAAAGTATACCGATACGAGGAACTCCTGGTCTTGTTTCTTGAATACAGGAGTTTATTTTGTGTGTGTGTGTGTGTGTGTGTGTGCCAGACTTTATTTGAATATGCTGTTTAAACTTACTGTTTAGGGGTGGAAAAAAACCTATGCTATCTTAACAATGTTGAAAAATGTATTAATTATGTAGCCATTAAGTGATATATCAACTTACCTAGGGAACATTTCTTGTTCAGGAGCAGGAAGTGGGTTGCTGCCTAGCTATGTCAGTCTGGCTCAAAATTTTCTCAGGGGTTGGATCCCCCAAGTCAGTGCAGATGTCTATAAGTAATTCCGTGCTCTCTGCAGAGTAACACTCTGTATATAAAACAAATGACAGAAGCACAGCATTCCCCTTGAACTTCTTCCCCTCATTCCTGTTTCTCTAACAGCAAGGTGGGATCTATAAGGCCTGAATTTTATAACAGCGTCCATTTTGTGGACTCTAAATATGACATCACTGTTGGATTACAGCTTACATCAAATTTTCCCCCCTGTAAGAAGAAGACTCTCATTCTGAATAAGATCTGTCAGAAGGTGACAGCTGTTTTTTGTTGGCTGTAGAATTAAGTAAACAGTTAAGACAGTGGAGCTTTTACTAAGATGATTTAATAAAAGCTCATTAATGTTGTCGATTTACATAGCTGACCCAGATAGAATACAAAATTCAACACTGCGCTGCGGTAATGTCATCAAAATATATTGATGTATTCAGTGCATTACCATCATTAAATTTTAATTTTAAATTTAATCAAATTTGTTAAGACAAAAGACAGAACGCAAAGGTAGAAATATTGGAACTATTTGGGGAATATTGTACTTTAACTTTCCTTTGTTTTCTAATTCAGGTAAAGAATTCAATCAATCTCATCAGGAAAGTACTAATAAGTCCACTCCTATGAAACACAGGCACAAAGTTATTTCTGAGACTGGGAATCAAAGCTATTAAATCAGTCAACATAGAAGCCGATGAGTAGCTAGAGAAGGGCCGTGGAGCTCAGGAAACATCCTTTGTCTCTAGCAATTGTATCCACAGTAGTGAATCAGCAAGAAAGCATTTGACCCAGCAAAATCCACCCGTCTGCATGCTTCTGTATTCAGAGCAGAGTGAGGAAAGAAATAAACTTGGGGATTTTCTATTTTCCACATCTGTGCCCGATTCTTTCTCTGTGTGCTCACCACACAGCCGCTGCGGGTGTCAGGGTCTACTTGGTGAGTGTGCGATTCATGTTCCACACGTGAAGTTCCCCGAGCCATCCTTCAGCTCTATGGGAGTGGAGAGGGAGGGGATGGATATTTTACATTTGGCTCTAGTAGTGCCTGACGGTTAATAAGCAGGCCTTGCCTGTAAAACTTGTAAAATAGGAGAATTAACCCATAAATTGTTGTAATAAAAACAATTGGCAATATTTATTGAGCATTTATTATTTTCTCAACACTGGGTCCTTTAATTCCATCAAAAAAAAAAAACAATCTTGTGGGGATGGCTATTTCTCCACTACAGACACGAAGGCTTCTAGGGACTGGGAGCCTGGGCAACATTGCATGCTAACGTGGGAGAGATGGGACTTGAACATGAGGGTGGGTTGCAGTCTGCTCAACTCCAGTGCAAAGATGGCTCTGTGGCGATGGTAACATTAATGACAGTGTGATCAAGTGGAAGGAGCCGGGGAAAGGGTGGGGTTTGTGGTTGGTAATATGGGTTTGGGTTAAAGCTGTGCTCCAAACTGGTAGTGGGACTGGAACAAGTTATTGAAACTCTACGGGCCTCAGTTCCCTCGTATGTAAAGTGGGCTGCATAAAACAAGAGTGGGGGCAGGTCTGCTTTCCTTGGGCCCTCTGTCCCTCTGCTGTGTCCCTTTGCCCTCTGCTCCATGCCTTCTCTCTAGACCCTTGGACCCCCCTGTCCTCCGCTGTGTGCAGACCTCATGCAAACCCAACTCATCGTACAGCTGAAGAGACAGTGGAACCTCCAGTGGGTTTGCTGTGCTCTCCAGGTGGTTCCTAACACCTGCCAATCAGAGGGAGGGCAGAGGGTGCACTTACCTCCTGAGAGAATGGCTGTGTGTTGACCTGGTTTTCTGTAGACCAGCATTTCTGAAGGTACATTTTTCACATTAACAGGAGTAACCAAAAAAATGTTTGGGGATAAATAGTATTAGAAAGGTATTTCTTGGATGATTTCTCAGACCCTTTAATATACTACTGTGCATTGCAAATCTCCAAGTGGACAACACAGTATTTCCCAAGCAAACCCAGAGGGGAATGCTTTATTATCTCCCCCAGATTGTCCCATGGGACCAGTATCCAGCAGGAAAAACTACGGGGAAGTTTTGGACTTGGGAAGTACCAATTAATGAATGCAGGATTCAATGACCCAGTATGGCTCCTGTGACTTGGAGAGTGGAACAGCTCATTTCAGATCCTTTTGCAGAGAATGTGAACCTTCTGAGGGACTGCAGCCTGGCCCAGATAGTACAATAGGACTGGATTGTTTTTGTACTAGATATAAAAGCTAATCCATGGATTTATCAATTTCATAGGACATAGAAACCCTAGTCATTGGTTCTTACCCTATTACAGGCAGCGTTGAGAAGTCTCTGTAGTAGATTCATGTAGATCAGGAACTTGTGAAAGATATAAGAAAATAAAGGGAGAATTAGAAAAGAATTAGGGAAGAAACACAAAGAATATCCAAGAGTGATAAGTCTGTGACCAGCACTTAAGAGTACCTACTGGTCCCAACCTCATCTGAAATTACTAAGTAGATATGTATAGGTGAGCAGGTTGTGTACTGCACAACTCCAGAGATGCACACACTCCAAGGATGTTGACTAGGACTTCAATAACTTCCAGGGAATATGGATACACAACCTACATGGCCATAGCATAGTGGGTTTGAACATCAACTCCAAGCAACTGAATAAACTAAGAATGGCTTCTGACAAAGTATTGTCTTGGTCAAACTGTAACTCGTTTTTCCTTCAAACAAACAGATTTATTTTAATAAATAAATAAATTTATTTAATTTATTTATTAATAAATAAATAAATACAAAAAGCCAAACTGACCACCCTACCACCTAAAAAGACACAAGAAATGAATTCAAATCCCTGAAAGACATGATTTAGATAATGGAAATCTTTTTTAGACTATTTCAGGAATTTTAGACTATTTCCCTTAGACAATTTCGGGAAGTTCTCTGTGTTTCTGTGTCCAAGAAAACCCCTCCCCTTTCTTTTTATTTCCTCCATGTGAACAAGGGAGTCCCCCAGAATTCCACTTGCCAGATTCCTGCCCAGGCCTGTGAACCGAGTCTGATGGGTTCTCAGGTTTCAGAATTCGGCCATGTCACTTCAGCCACTAGGTTCTGCGGGGACCCAGGACCGTGACTGCTCGGCTGCCTCAGTTTCTGTACTTGTACAATGAAGACAAAGCAAGTGGCCTCCCAGACGGAGAATGAAGTGATAAATCACTATTAAGTGCTTTGCAAAAGGGAACACAATGAATGCTTAATAATCCTTCCAATATTGCAGACATAAAGATAAATTAGGCAGTCCTTTCGTCTCTCTTGAGGACAGTGTCAGAATCCTTATTTGGGTGTCAGTTAGTCTAATTAAGGCAATAAATACTTGTTAGTTGATTCAGCGTGGAAAAAAGTATACTAATTGACCATCTCCTAAAATATATGTTTTTAAAAAAAATTTTTTTAGTTGTCAATGGACCTTTATTTTATTTATTTATATGTGGTGCTGAGAATCAAACCCAGTGCCTTACACATAGTAGGTAAGCACTTTACCACTGAGCTACACCTCAGCTCAAATGTATGGGTTTTTTTGTTTGGTTTTATTACAAATTTGGCAATCCTATCATTGGCTAATTTCAACATTTTTTAAAAAAAAGCTCATTTATTTCTAACCAAAAGGAACCTTTCTTATATTTAAACGTGAAATCCCGATTACAGTAAATTTTTTGAAGCACAGTCCAAAGTATTAGCTCAGCGATGTTACATAACTCAAAGTATGTATGTAGAAAGCAAAGTTATAAATGCTTAATTATGTTAAAAATAACTTTTAAGATTTAAATAGATTAAAAATATCATCCGTGTTTCTTAGACAGGGATCCAGTAAATTGAGAACTTTTAAAATTACTTTGGGGGCCTGGTGGAGAGCTTGTAATGAGGACTCCCAGGGCAGCCTTTGTCTTTGCCGAGTAGCTTGTGGCTTGAAAGCCCAGAGTCTGATTTTGCCAAACTGTAATATGTATGTGGGTAGTTTTCCTATTCATTGATAGAAAATCTTCCAGTCAATAGGTACAAATGTTTATGACTGTAAACAAACACAACTAAAATGATTCTACACAGTGAATGTTTAAATGTTATTTATTTTCAAGCCAATGCCAATATGAAAACTTCTAAACTTCTATGTGGGGGGAGGGGCGGCCCAGTTCCTGCTGCGGGGTGGATTTCTGGCTGCAGTGTTCTGAGGTCTTGGGCTGCAGGTGAAGCAGAAGTGGGGGCGGGAAGAGTGGCAGGGAATGGGAGGACAGGACATTGGCACATGATCTGACACCCTGTAGAGTCCTCACTGAAGTCCCCAGGAACCACAAACTTCCAGGGAGTCCCAATCTTTTCTGTCTTTCCTAAAAGCTAAGTATCATGTTGCCCTTTCCTCGCCCTCAAATAAAAGGGGTGGGGGGCTAGAAACTAGATAAAAAAGAAAGATTCCTTCCAGCCCTAGGATCTGTGATTGTAATCTCCCCCGTAATCGTCTCAGGATTGGACTACTCTGCAAAATAAAATCATTGCATTTGTAAGTGATCAGGCTTGTTGGAGGGGCTGCCAATCCCAGGGGTGTGTGGGCAACAGCTCGGGAGAGACGGAGCACAAGCACAACTAGAGCACACGCTGGAGAAAGTAGAAAAAGAACAATTCCCATTTTGTGCTGCTGTAGAACCCGGCCCTGCTAATGGAGCTCAAGATGAAAATGAGTCAGTGAATATTTAAATATGGTTACTTCTTCCTTTTCGTTAAGCCTTTTAGATGCAGAGGTCTATAAAGCTGTGGTTGGAGATTTGAGAGAAAGAATGCAATGACACGAGACCAAGATGATGTAAGGTGGTGACATCGGCATCAGGATGCTGTTGCTAAGGTGAACCTGTTTTTCTCTCCAGTAATTGCCCATTTCTGGTAAAGAACATATCCATGACATGATCCCTTTTCCTGAAGCAGATACAACAGAGCCAGATGCTTTCTCTTTGCACAAATTATTTTAAAAACAAAGATAAAAATTTTATTACAAAACATAACACATGTCCTTGGGAGAATATTCAGAACATTTTGTGTAAGTTTGAAATTCTAATTTGTCAAGAATATATGCAAGGATCTAAATGGATATCGGGATGAGATCATTTCATGGATGGACCTGATAAAAGCTAACTGTTTTTGAATATAGTGAGAAGGCAGATAGGAAAATATGTGATGGTAAAGAAGAAAGATCTGGAACCTTATGTCACTGGCAGAGAAAAGGCAGTGTAAGGAGACCTGGGTGTGAAGGAAGAAGGACAGACGCCACCACCTTATGGCTCTGAAGGATGGATTCTGCCATCACTACAGCCAGCACCCAGCAGCAACAGTAAGGAACAAGAGGTGGCACTTGGTGACACAGTTAGAGGCCAAGGTCACTCACACAGGAGTGTCTCCCAGGGCTGCTCCTGGGCTTTATGTCTTCTGCTTAGAGCATGCTCCTCCAGAGATCCCCAGAGCACGCCCTGGGCCCTGGAAATCTCTGCTGAAGGGCACTCTATTCAAGCACCCTCTTCCCTCCCAACTCTGCTTGGGATACTTAATGTCACTTCCTGTGTCCTACATGTTCTTTCTGTTTTTTTCTGAACACCTCACCCTTTCTAATTCGTCATATAATTTGTTTATTCTACTTAGAGCTAGTCCATATCAAGAGTATGGACTCCAAAGCCAGCCAGCCTGGGACAACTGGCTTCCCCACTGACCACGTTGAGTAAAGCTAGGTCATTACTCAGACCACTTTTCTCGCATGTGAAATTAGGATAATAATAGCATCATGCATCTGACAACACCGTGCTCCACACAGTGATCACTCCACAAATGTTTAATGAGTAGATTGCTCCCCCTGTTCCCAGTCCTGTGGGGAGCTTTCTGGAAGCACTCGTCATGTGTAGAACTGGGTGGAGGGAGAAGAGGAGGGACACATTTTCCACAAGTGGATGTTTTCTTTGGAATACAGGATTTAGGCCGGGTTAAGATTTGCCAGGGTAATTGCATGTGTAGGTCACTATCCAGCCACCAGGAGCCCTCTGCTGGTCAGGAAAGCCTGGGCAACTGGTCTCCAAGATGGGCCTGAGAAGGACTGGGAAGACTGGTCCAGCCAAGATATGCCAGAGCCCCAGCGACTTCCAGGATGACTGGGAGTCTAAGAAGTGAAGAGAGAGACGTTGAGTCGTGGCAGCTGCCTCACAAGTTCCTGTCAACACTGAGGACCACAGTGAAGTAAGGAAATATGGTGTCAAATAGAAAGATGTTGAGTTGAATGAGGTTAGCCAGTATGAATGTGGCCCAATAAAAAGGAAAGAAAGAAAAAAAGAGAGAGAAAAGAATGATGTATCTGGACCAGGACATCCCCAAACTATCCACCAGTACACCCTACTAGTTAGATGAACCAAAGAGTCTCAGGCCTCGTAAACCTCCAACACCATGAGCTACACACCCTTTCCTGGAGATTCAGGATGCTCGTTCCTAGGATCGAAGGTCTGAGAAGTCCTTCAGTAAAAACACATTGATTTATTTCTAATTTCTGAACTTACTTACCATGGATCCTTTCCTTCAGGACACTTTGAGACAAGCACCCATAGATCTTCCTTCAGGGATCATTGTGTAATACAAAGAGCTCTGTGGGGTCAGGTCTGTGTCTCACTTACCTTGATAGATCATCTCGATGGTCTCAGATGGGAGCAATATATTGTGAGCGTAGGACAAATCCTGATCGAAGGCAAGTGGGTTGAGGTTAGGGTAGCAGTCCTCGAAGAACAGAAAGAGATGGAAACGAGAACAAGGGTGTTGACAGAGGATGCACATCAGATAGAGCACTGATCTTCAGGGTGTATGAAGGACTCAAAAATCTTAACACCAAAAAAATAAGACAAAAACAACAAAAAAGAACCCGATCAATAAATGGACCGAGGAACTGAACAGACACTTCTCAGGGGAGGATATACAATCAGTCAACAAATATATGAAAAAAATGTTCATCATCTCTAGCAATTAAAGAAATGCAAATCAAAACTACTTTAAGATATCATCTCACTCCAGTCAGAATGGCAGCTATTATGAAGACAAAATACAATAAGTGTTGGCGAGGATGTGGGGAAAAAGGTACACTCATGCATTGCTGGTGGATCTACAAACTGGTGCAGCCAATATGGAAAACAGTACAGAGTTTCCTTGGAAATCTGGGAATGGAACCACCATTTGACCCTGTCCCTCTCCTCAGACTATACCCAAAGGACTTAAAAACAGCATACTACAGGGACACAGCACAATTCATAATAGCTAAACTGTGGAGCCAACCTAGATGCCCTTCAGTAGATGAATGGATA